ATAGTTTCATGGCCGAGATGATAGCTGTTGCGGATGAGGTGGCACGGCAATTCCCGAAGTACAGTGCCGATACAATAACTAAAGCAACTTGCCAGGTACATTTTTGCTTAGAGTTATGTGTTGTCAAGAGAATAAGTATGGTGTGATTTTGTGGTTTTCTTGTTTGTTGTTGTTGCTAGAGTTGTGTGTTATCAAGAGAATAAGTATAGTGAGATTTTGTGTTTTTCTTGTTTATTGTCATTGCTAGAGTTATGTGTTATAAAGAGAATAAGTATAGTGTGATATTGTGGTTTCTTTTTTGTCATTGCTAGAATTATGTGGTAACGGGAGAACGAGTGTAGTGTGATTTTGAGGTTTTCTTGTTTGTTGTTGTTGCTAGAGTTATGTGTGTTATCAAGAGAATAAGTATAGTGTGATTTTGTGGTTTCTTGCTTCTTGTTGTTGCTAGAGTTATGTGTTATCAAGAGAATAAGTATAATGTGATTCTGTGGCTTTCTTGTTTGTTGTCATTGCTAGAGTTATGTGTTATCAAGAGAATAAGCGTAGTGTGATTTTGTGGTTTTCTTGTTTGTTGTCATTGCTAGTGATATGTGTTAGCGAGAGAATAAGTAGAGTGTGATTTGTGGTTTTCTTGTTTGTTTGTTGTTGTTGTTGCTAGAGTTGTGTTATAAAGAGAATAAGCATAGTGTGATTTTGTGGTTTTCTTATTTGTTGTCGTTGCTAGAGTCATGTGTTAAACGGGAGAACGAGTGTAGTAAGATTTTGTGATTTTTGTGTTGTCGTTTGGTTGGTTAGTGTGGTGAGACAAGGGAAAAGAGTGTCCTGTTTCGGGTCATGGATGCCAACAACGTTCGGTAAGGGACGAAGTAGTTCTTCGAATTCGTTTTTGTGTCATGCAGATTCTATTGCCATTTATACATTGAATAATGTTGTGTAGTTGATGTTTGGGATAAAGGTTAACTCTCAAAGGAAACTAATTTGGCTTAAACTAATGGTATTTTGCAATAAAAATGTAATAAAAGGAAAAAAGTCGGACTAATATAGCACGACAATGTATATAATTGTGTGGGCCGGCGTAAAATAAATCTTCTTTCGCAGGCGATGTTGTTAGGAGGAACAGATACGATGACAGTAACCCTCACGTGGGCCCTTTCTCTACTGCTCAATAACCGTCACACCATTCGGGAAGCCCAACAAGAGCTAGACCTTCATGTTGGCCGAGAAAGACTCGTAAAAGCATCGGACACCGAAAGCCTCATCTACATCCGAGCCGTAATCAAAGAAACCCTACGTCTCTACCCGCCATTCGCACTACTCCTGCCCCACGAGTCAGCAGAGGACTGCCACGTGGCGGGCTACTACATCCCAGCTGGCACACGACTCATCCTCAACGCGTGGAAACTTCATCGAGACCCTCGTGTTTGGGCCAACCCACTGCAGTTCCAGCCCGAGAGGTTCTTATCGGGCCACAAAGAGATTGATGTTCGAGGACAACACTTTGAGTTGCTCCCGTTTGGGGGTGGCCGGAGGATTTGCCCCGGGATTGCTTTTTCGCTTCAATTTACGGTGCTTGCGCTTGCGAGTTTATTGCATGCTTTTGATATTGACACGACTTCTGGTGAGGCTGTTGATATGAAGGGGAGTTTGGGTTCGACGAATGTGAAAGCTGCTCCGCTTGAAGTCGTGCTCACGCCAAGATTGTCGCCGGCTGTTTATGATGGATTCATGTAAAATGTTTTGCGAAATAATCGAGAAAAGTATATTGTTGTGTGATTGTGTCATGTAAAACTAGCGTCACCATGTATATTGTCGAGTACAAATAGGCTAAGAGTGTGCTTGTTAAACACTATAAGGGTCTCAACTCTCAACAGAAAAATAATACAACTTTGTATCTATGAACAATATGGATAACAGGTTTTACTATAAATGAATAACACAACTTCCTTTTCTTTCTTCTTTTTTTCGATAATCTTGCCATTTTCGAGCGGTCACGAAACGAGAGGTCTTGAAGATCATAATATGCCGGAGGGTTGCGGTGTCGTTCGCCGATACGAATGCCATCGACATAGGGCGATATGGGGGATTCTGAACTGCTGACGATTCGTGAGAAGTATGAAATTCCAAGAGTTGCGAAGATGTTCGTCCCATATGAAGGCGAGCGGGCCCGCTGCCCCCCGGAAGGGAGCGTCGTGGTGCACAAGGAAGCGATATTGTCGGGATTGAGATTTCCACCACCTGCGGTGATCGCTCAGTACTTGAAGGAATGGGTATCTCCATTGTTCAGGTATACCCAAATGTTATTTACCGATTGTGTTCGTTGGTGGTAATGTTTGCCACAAAAGGGTGGTCGCTCCAACTAAAGAGGAGCTGGTCTCTTTGTATATGTGAAGGACCGCTAAGGAGAGATCGAGATACTTCCTCCTCCATTCGAAGAAGGAAAATACGCTCATCAAGTGAAGAATATCCTTAAATGCGGCACTGGTGGAAGTCGAGGTGGTTCTAGGTTGTTGGAGAGTGGCAAAGTCGCAATCAATCAGGTCGGAAATACGAGAAGCCGACGTACTTTGCAGAAAAAATGTGCAAGTATTTTTCACTTATGTACTATTTTTTGTGCCGATCATGTGGATTTATTTATTTATTTATAATAATTATTGTTATTATTTTTATTTTTTTTGTGATCGGCTCGTCTTAATAATATTGTTATCTTGGTACAGCGGACGACAAAAATGGTCCTCCCATGAGTGCGGAGTTTGCTGACAAATTGAAGGAGATCTTGGATATGAATATTCAAGATAAAAGTTGTCGCCTTGTGCGAAAATGTCAAGTTGGCCGAGGCAGGCCTTCATCCTAGCTACGAGATGAAACTCTAGTTGAGCCATGCAATATCCTTTTGATATAATTAACAGTGATCATTATGTAAAGATTCGTCCCTCTTTAACACCCTTGTTGTTTGTTGATATGTAGTTTTTTATCCGAAAACGGGCAAAGTGGGCAAGGACTTCATGGCGAACATGAAGCAAAAAGGAAACTTGATAAGCTGAACTGTTAATAAGTAAAAGTGGAGGATCTCCGGGTAAGGTTTAAGTCGCCGATAGTGGACGATGTGCCGATTCAAAAAAGTATGGAGCAACGGACATCGTCAGGGAATGCAAATTCTTGAGGGGGAAGAGTGACCGGTCGTGGAGCTGTGTCAAGCAGCGAAAAGGATATTGACGGTCGCTGGTTTTGTAATAGTTTAAAGACAATTTGGCTCAACCCTGGACAGGCGGTGGAAACTACCAAGCTGCTTAGCCCCGTTAGTTTATCTTCGGTGCAAGGGCGCCCGATCAGTGAGCTATTACACACTCTTTGAAGGGTAGCTGCTGCTTCTAGGCGCAGTTTTGTCTATGTATGCAATTCGAATAAATTGAATCAAAAGCGGGCAAATCAATTAAACTAGAACTCTAATTTAGGCTGCAATAAAGCCCTTTACTTTTGTTTTATTTATTAGTCTTGTGAAGGCATAAAGACACATGAAAGTTTTATTCGGCCAATAAGTGGCCCTTTTTGAAAGTTTTTAAGTTTGAAGGAGTGTCTTTTTGAAATTATAGATTTGATCGACGAGGTATGTTTTGCCATTTAAACTAGGCAAAAATACAAAAAAGATACACTAAGTTGGGCGTTGTCAACAAAAGAGACATTATGTTGTCCCTCTCGGAAAAGACACGCGAAGTTGGCATTTTCGTCGGAAACGATACATTAATCACCCCTGCGGGATAAAAATCTGACGTGGCCTGATTATCTTATTACGTGGCATTTAATCTTTCGGTATATTCATGCGTGGAATTTACGTGGCCGACACCGTGGACATGTGGCTTAATTTTGGAGGGAAATCCCAACACAAGAGTTGACCACCGAGGACCGAAGTATTAATTGCGGGAAAATCACAAATCAGATCCAATCCCTCATTTCGATCGGCCAAAATTAGGGTATTTCGAAGAACCCTAAAAATCGTCACCTTCAATTGGATCTCAATAATTCATTTCAAGTGTCAAAACATCAATAAAAGAAAATCACGAAGATGTCAACGTCTTCTTTTTCTTCTCCGTCGGACATTTTGTGCGGTTGTCTAGAGAAGGCCCAATTGAGGACTTCGAAGACGAGTAAGAATCCTGGGAAAAGATTCTATGGTTGTAAGAAGTGGAAGGAAGGAGGGTGCCCTTTTTTCATGTGGGCCGAACCAAGTTCTCAAATCAACTCAGAAACTTCATCAGGTATGAATAATCAAGATTTGGGTTGTAAGGCTCAAGAATCTGAAATGAAGATTGTTTTGCTGGAGGCTGAATTGAAAGTTCTGAAGATGAAGATTTCAATGCTTGAAGATTCTATTGGGAAATTTGATTCTCAAGTGAAGTTGATGATGGACAGGATGAAGAGAATTCACTTGTTTATTGTTGGTATTTGTATTGGTTTGATCTTATGTGTTTTAGTGAAATAAAGACTGAATTGTTCATTCAAAAAAAAAGTGGGATCTGTTCTAATGTACTGAATATTTGTTGGTTGATTATGAAGTGGACTGATTTCTGTGTTTGTTGCTTATGAAGTGTATTGAATTGATATGTTGCAGAAATGTTTTTTTGACCAGTTAGCACACACTGAAAAAGACGAGCAATAGGTATTAGATATTGACAGCTGAGATCAAAATTCAGATATTGTCAACTGAGATCACACAACAATTGAATAAGGTGTAAAAACACAACACTTTAAAACCAATCACCATTCACCATAAATCATCCATTACAAATCAGATCCAAAAAACCATTCAAGCCAAAACAACACAACATCTCATAACCATAACCTTCCCAAACAAAACAACACAGTTTTTTCACTTTTCACCATCACACCATAACCATAACCATTCACAGCAAAAACATTCACAGCAAAACAACTTTGAAGTACAAAACACAAAAAACTGTCAAGTTCATAACAACACATTCAGAATAATCATCAATCATCCATCATCACAGCAATTTCTGTTTTCCTCTGCCATCATCACTCTTCTTTGGATTGTTCATGCCAGATATAAGCTCAGACACAGATATGTACTTCTGTCCTCCTTCTTGAAATATTTGTTTGAGCCTAGTGTCCCTCTCTGAAAGGCAACTTTCTTGACTTGGTATAAATTGACCCACCTGAAATGTAGGAGGCCCTCTAATGTTCACCCCAGAAGTTGGACCCAACTGAGCAGAAGTATATTGATTGTACATTGAAGGTGCTTGAATGAATTTTGGGACTGTGGTTTGTTTTTTCCCTTCCTTTCTTTTCTTGTGGGCTTGGCCTTCACCCTGCAAGATAATTTATAATATAAATACAACTATGAATTTTCAATGATGAAATAAGGCACAAAAAAGTATTTCTTACAGTTACAACACTTTCTTGAGTTGAAACTCCTATTGCAGGAGCTTTGTCTGTCATCCTTCTAGCCTGAAAGAATAAAAATTTTCTTTTTAGTAAACAAGGTAACATAATTTGAATTCATTATTAAATTTAAACCAACATTATAAAAGTACCTTCAGCTTTTGAGGCCTATCTTCTAGACCAATGGCTGCAGGATCTGCATTACCTTCCTTCATTAGAAGACAGCCTCTCTTGTTGTGGCCTTCCACATGGCAAACAGTGCACTTCAACCCTGTTTGCTGCCTTTTGATAGTATTGGCTGGAGTCACAAGTCGAGGCTTAACCCTTTTTTTTCTAATTCTTTTAGGTTGAACCTCATCAGGTTCCATTCTCCTCACTCTAGTGGGCCTACCAGCTGCTCTACCATTATTAGGTGGCAATGGAGGGGCATATCCTGTCCTTCTCCATTCTTTTCTGCCATTGATGGGCATTATGGCTGGAGCATAAACCTTTTTATAGGTCTCTGTTTTGTAGCATGGATGTATGAAATCATCAATGTTCCAGCCTTGAAAATGAATAGCACTTACTGCATGGATACAAGGAATTCCACTCAGTTGCCACCTCCTACAACCACAACTCTTGTTTTCCAAATCCACTTTGAACTGATCACCATTGAACACCTCAATTTGGAAATTGAAATCATTAGACTTCAATGGGATACAGTCAACCAAATTTTCAATATGGTTATCAATTATCTCCCTCACCTTAGGACAAAATAAAAAATCCCACTTTTCTGCCTTATCTCTATTCAGTTGCAACCTTTTCATCAGGTAATTCATGATCCACTCAAGCATTGATAAGATGGGCATACTTCTAGCTTCTAAGATGTTGCAGTTGAATGTCTCACAACCATTATTTAGCAACATGTCACACTTGGGAAACTCACTGAAATGCGACCTGCTCCATTGATGAGGTGGTTTGTCACTTAACCAGTCATAAGCACTCTCTTCCAACCCTTTCAGTGCATCCATTTTCCTTGAAAAATCATTGACTGTAGATGCTGTAGCTGCTCTCCAAACTGCATTCTTAAACCCAATCCCTCTAAAACCTGCATTTCTGAAGTTACCCAAAAGGTGCCTCACACAAAACCTGTGATCTGAGTTAGGCAACACTTGTTGAAAGGCCTGAATCAGTCCTTTCTGTTTATCAGAAATAAATGTCCACTCATGTTGCTTTTCAATCTCAAGGTCCAATTTCAACAGCAAAATGAACCACTCCCAGTTGTCTCTGTTTTCCTTTTCAACAATAGCATAAGCTAAAGGAAACAAGGAATTGTTAGGATCTACTCCCACAGCACATAGTAGCACTCCCTTGTTGGGGCCTTTCAAGTGACAGCCATCCACTCCAATGATGGGTCTGCAACCAGCTTTAAATCCAACTTTCAGTGCATTCAAGCAAATGTAGAACCTGTCAAACAAGTTCTCCCCACTACTATCATCAGTACCCAAAATCACTGTGCTCCCTGGATTAGTCCTTTTAATCTCATCACAGTAATCCCAAAGAAGAGCATACTGGTCATTAGGACAACCAGTCCTTTCTGCAAGTGCTGTCATTTTTGCCCTATATGCTTGTGCTCTAGAGAATGTCACTCTCAGCTCCCTCACTTTACTGTCCCTAAAACCCTTAATCTTTCTATCAGGATCACTTTGCAGCTCATGAGCATATCTACCAGCAAGCCATCTTGATGTAATATTTTTAACCTTTGCTGTGGCAGCACAAGTATGAGTGTGAGTGTACTTTATCACTTGCCAGGCCTCCTCTCCATTGATCTTAGTTGCATGCAGCTTCCAATTACAAGCAGCATCAACACATTTAGCATGAACATACTTCCTATCTCTTCTAGTTAATTTCACACTTCTTTTGCATTTGATTGCATTTGACTGAATTGCTGTCCTCAGTTCACCTTTGGTACTGAAAACCAAACCTACCCTGAAAGTAGGATCATATAACTCTGCAGTGTTGAAAATAGGATACTGGTGACCTACATTCTTTCCTTCAGAACTATCATCACTATGCAAATCATCACAATTGACCACATCAGTTTCATTTTCAACTGAGATACCATCATTTGCACATTTCTTAACACCTTCCCCCTGACCATGCAACCATTCAGCATCAAAATCCACATTATCATCAAACATCTTGTCATCTACCTTGTCAGCTTCCATATCATACTCCCAATCCAAAATATCATCATCACTCTCCTCACTATCCTCACTATCCTCACTCTCCTCACTCTCCCCACCAACACCACCATCAGCATCAAACCCACCATTCTTAGCCATAAACTCAGCAACCTCATCCACGACCTGATTTAAATCTTCATCACTCTCCTCACCCTCATCAACCTTCTCAGCCTCAATCTCAACCCCAAGCTCACCCTTCTCAACCCCAAGCTCAGTCTCACCCTCACCCTCACCCTTCTCACCCTCACCCTTCTCACCCTCACCCTCAACCTCACCCTCCTCTGCCTCAACCCCAACCTCAACCTCAACTTCATCCACATTTTCATCAAACAAGATGTCATCCAACTTGTCAACTTCACTATCATTCTCCCACTCAAAAGTTTCATCACTATCAGTCTCACCCTCACCCTCACCATTCTCACCCTCACCCTCACCCTTCTCACCCTCACCCTTCTCACCCTCACCCTCAACCTCACCCTCCTCTGCCTCAACCCCAACCTCAACCTCAACTTCATCCACATTTTCATCAAACAAGATGTCATCCAACTTGTCAACTTCACTATCATTCTCCCACTCAAAAGTTTCATCACTATCAGTCTCACCCTCACCCTCACCATTCTCACCCTCACCCTCACCCTTCTCACCCTCACCCTTCTCACCCTCACCCTCAACCTCACCCTCCTCTGCCTCAACCCCAACCTCAACCTCAACTTCATCCACATTTTCATCAAACAAGATGTCATCCAACTTGTCAACTTCACTATCATTCTCCCACTCAAAAGTTTCATCACTATCATCTTCACCAACCTCATTTTCAATTTCAGGTGCATTAACAATTTCTGTATTTTCACTTAGCTCTTCAACAAACAAACTAACCTCCCTAACCTTGTTAAATTGTCTTTGCCACACACTCTCAAGATCAGTCTCAGTTGAAAGTAACATGAAACTCCCACAACCAACATATGTGTGCAGTCTCATAGGATTTTTGCACCCTTTAAATTCTGCCACAGACTTAAAGTCAGCAAGTGTGACCCTTTCATAATCCACATAGTCAAACATTATTGTACTCCCACCTAGATATGCAGAATATTTTTTCCCAATATCAAATTTACCCCCAAATTCTAGGGTGACTGTGAAGAATTTACTAGTTGAACCTGCAGTAACAATAAAAATTACAATGAAAAAGCATCCAGGAAATGAAAATAGTGTAGACTGACAAAATTAAAATTAAAATTAAATACATACTATATCTAGGAGCTGGGGAACATTCTTTGTCACTGGGTCGTATTTGAATCTCGCAGTCGGAAACACGAAGGCCTCTTGCTAACTTCAAAATGGGATTCGATTTTCGAACTGGTTTTTTCTTCATTGTGACAGTGGTTGATTGATTAAGGTCGAAATTGATGTAAGTGATTGAACTGGAAGATAATCTAGGTTAGTTTTTCTTCATTATGTGAGTGATTGAGGTCGAAATTGAAATGAAGATAATCTAGGGTTTTTTCTTCACGATTGAAATGCAATAGGGGCGGGGCAGACGTACAGGTGTGTGGGATTTCCCTCCAAAATTAAGCCACATGTCCACGGTGTCGGCCACGTAAATTCCACGCATGAATATACCGAAAGATTAAATGCCACGTAATAAGATAATCAGGCCACGTCAGATTTTTATCCCGCAGGGGTGATTAATGTATCGTTTCCGACGAAAATGCCAACTTCGCGTGTCTTTTCCGAGAGGGACAACATAATGTCTCTTTTGTTGACAACGCCCAACTTAGTGTATCTTTTTTGTATTTTTGCCATTTAAACTATGTTTGAATATATTTGTGAGCAACCACACCATGCCATCATATTTATAAAAGTACTTCATTTTTTACTTTTGCTATCATGCGATGGGTTGATGCATGTTTGATTATAAGATCACCGATAGTAAGGGATAAAATTTTTGTTTGTTGGGACGCATCGCTACTTAGGGACGATCGGCATGATGTCTTGCCAAGTATCTTTTTTAATGGCTGAGCTTTACACATGCAGCCTAAAATTGATATTTGAGAGGCCAGGTTTTTTGTGAACATATATACATCATTTTTAAGGTTCATGGTGGACAGCCTGAAATTATTTTAAATTTGGAGGTTGGTTCTTCGACGGACAACCTGAAATTATTTTTGAAGGTTTTAGCCATGGTGGACAGCCTGAAATTATTTTGGAGGCTGGATCCTTGGCGGACAGCCTGCAATTATTTTTTATGGTCTGGTCCTTGGTGGACAGCCAGGTGTCGTGTGGACAACCTTGAGAGTAAAGATTGGTCATTTGATGGCAGCTTATTGTGAAGGTGGTCGGGTCGTGCATGAACAGCCTTGAGGAGCGAGCTTGGCCGCTTGTGGGCAGCTCGTTGTGAAGGTGGCCGAGTCGCATGCAGACAAAATTTGTGAAGGTCGGGTCCTTTGCGAACATTCTAGAATTTTGGGATGATTGGTGTCGTCTCGGGATATAAAGATATTTTGGGATGGTTGGTGTCGTCTCGTGACATAAAGATCAATGGTATGTTTACAACCAATGCTGTTGTGTTGCAGGGATGCACTTTGTCGGCAATCGTCATTTGATTAGGAGAAGAGATTGCATGGGACGACATCGCGTGATTGGCGTCTTCTACATAAGTTTGTGGAGATCATTCAACACGAATCACTATGTAGTCTATGAATTAATAGAGGATGTTGATCACGGATTGCCTGTTAGGGTATGTTGTAAGAACTTGACTTTCAGTTTCTGATAATACCAGTTTGAACAAATATCATGTTTAATTCAAGTGTATGTTTGCAGTTTAATTATGTATGCGAACATAGTTCATTTATTTTATATTGTAAATAATATGATTTAATATATCGAATAGAAAAGATCGATATGTTGTAAAATGTGAATTAATAATTGTTCACAACCCCATATGGAATTTAACTAGCTATTGTAAAAGGCTGAAGTGTAAAATGTAAATTATTATGGGCCGTGGTCATATTTCCACCACTTCCACAAGACTAATTTCATGAAGAAGA